AAACTCCTTCACAATAATCTGTATATTGTAGAGTAGGTCTGCATTCCGTTCATCGATCGACGTAAGTGAAAGCTTACTCAAGACAATTGCTAAATGCAATTAAGTAGATTGATTTTACAGCTGTATGCGAGGGAGTTATCCGTCCATTTTGGCGTTTGAGACAGGAAATTGATTAACAATAATGTTGAAATAACTGAAAAAATCTGTCAAGTTGAAATTAAGACATCTGAATAAAACACTCTATATCTCTTAACTTTTATTATTATTTTTCATTAATTCTTTAGTAATATGTTATATTTTTATGTATTATCTTTCCATTAAGACTATGAATTTTTACATCAATTTTATTTTCTATTTATTATTATTATTTTTTAGATATTTCTTTTTAGTGTGAGGTGTGAAAAGAGTCTTTTTTTGCTTTGTTTGTTCATTACTATTATTGCTTTAATGATAAAAAGGTAAATTATACACCGTGTGAAAAGATGTATATTATTACTATTGTAATAATAATAATAATAATATCATTATTATTATCATTATCATTATCATTATTATAACGAGATTTACGATTGTATTTCGGGAAAAAACTAAATAAAGTTATCATTATCATTATTATTATTATTAGCATTAGCATTAGCATTAGCATTAGCCCATTTTGTATTACTTTTCCTATTCATTACTCTTCGTTTTTATTTTTCCAATTGTATTTCCCTTACCATTCTCTTGTTTCATTTTTCTATTTTCTTATAATGTATTTCTATCGACGTTCCTATTTTCCTTCGGCATTTTCATTTCTGTTTCTACTTCTATTCCCACTTTTTCTAGAGTTCATTACTATTTCGTTCAGTTTCATGTATACATACATCTTATCTTTCTCAATAAATGAAGATTAGCAACACTCTTTATTCAATTCACTCTTTAGAAAATTTTTCCTTGTGTTTCAACTCAGCATCATTAAGGCATGGCTCTCAGATGAAAAATTAGCTATATCATAGCCAGTTTTCTACGAATCTTCCCCAAACTTGGCAAGTTAATGTCTTTTGTGAAAAGAAGGAACCTTAGAGCCTTGGTTACCATGGAAACTAAGTCACGTGACCACAAGACCGCCATCTTGGATTTTTAAACAAGCCGTTTGTAAACGTACCGAAACATCTTTAAAAGTCATGAAAATGCAGATTACTATTCATATTTACAATGCCTATATGGACCTAATTGGATATCTTGAAAATTATTTTAATTTTAATTTTTAGAATATTTTCTATTTTTTCCAAAAAATTAAAAATATTCTAAAAATTAAACTTAATATAATTTCCAAGATATCCAATTAGATCCATATAGGCATTGTAAATATGAATAGTAATCTGCATTTTTTTTCAGGACTTTTGAAGTAGTTTCAATACGATTACAAACGATTTTTTTAAAAATCCAAGATGGCGGCCTTGTGGTCACGTGACCTGGTTTCAATGGTAACACATATGCGGTAATTGCTTGCCTTGAAGAATTACTACTACGAGCCAAATTTGGGAAAGATTCATAGTAAACTGTGAAAGATATGAATAAATAACTGATTTTCCATTACTTCCTCAAAAGAGCCATGCCTTAATGGTGCTAAGAACATCTATAAGGCAAAGACCGAAAACAAAGTTCAAAGAAGTAAGATGGTTTTGTCAATTCATGCATATTTTTCAAAGCAGCTTTTTTTAATCTTATGAGCGAAGTGTAGGTGTCCTTATGCAAAGGAGGACAACCTGTTAATACCATTTGTAAATAAACTTAATATTTGACGCACTAACTCAAGAAACAGGAAAAGACAGATAGGGAACTAAACAATGAAAAAGAAAATGAGAAGGTGAAGGAGAAGGGTCTAAGAAAATTGTGTGCAAGAATCTAAAACATTCCTTTACCAATTTTAATGCCAAAATTTATTTCATTGATAAAGGAAAATTATGTACGAATAGTTGTTCGAAATAAAGGAAAGGAAAGGAAATATCCTAAAAATATGCCAAGTATTGTTATTGAAATCACACACAAAACGGTTTAAAAATAAAGCTTTTTAAATTTCATATCTTTTTTTTACTGAGTAGACAAAAAAAGCTTCGAGGTTGCAAAATAGAAATTTCGTGCTGAAAGAAAATCATTATGCTGCAATAAATAATAACAAATAATAATAATAAAAAAAAAAACGAAATAGAAAATGTGCCAATATGTTATCGCTTCATGTTTCGTTCCTTAGCAACCAAAAGGTATGACGTCAGAAGCAGTAAAACGTTTTAAAAAAACCGTCCTTGTCTTACGAGCCGGGTAGCACTTAATAGCCAGAGGCTAACAAACCCTTGGCCCTCGCTCCATGATCGAATTGGAATTTAGGAGTTGATTTTATTGGTTTTGAACGTTGTTGCTTAGAAACAAAAATATATGCCTTCATTAGTGTTTTACTTTGGCAAATAAAGCACCTGGCTCGCAACGGGTGGTTGAGCATTAAACCTTTTTTCCTTGAGCCCCGTTTACACTGGCCATTTTTGCGGCGATTTTTGCTGCGAATTTTGTGGCAATTTTCGGAAATATGAAATCTTTTGTCTCATCCTTCAAAAGAGACATTAGTCTAGGGAAATCTTGATATCCTGAAAAACTTTACAAGTAAATTCTTGACCATTATTTATTATGCACAAAATCGCAACGAAATCGCAAGTGTAAACGGGGCTTTAAGGATAATGTTTTCCAACAGACCTTTCACGAATTCGCTTCACTGATCACGAAACAATATGGTTTCAAGTCGAGGTTAAACTTGATGAATAAAAGAATCAAGTACAGTCTCGACTTCAAACCATTGTTTCAGGGTCATCCAAGCGAATTCGGGAAAGGCCTATTTCAGAGCACGTTTCATTCTCTTGAGAATAAGATTCTTTGCTCATGTGTCTACTGATTCGACACAACCGTTATAAACAAATTAAATAATTGATACTCTTGGGAAAGACACGTGACCTGAATTAGGAAAACGTTACGGTCGAGGTAAAGAGGTCTATTGCTCTGACTATCGTTGTGTACCTTACTTCAAATTTAGACGTTCTGAGTATTGAAAGATACCATTTGAGTGTCATTTTGATATAACTGTTATAAAGCTCGTGTTTAATTGGTTGGGAGCGCGTGCTTTATAAGGACACACAGCACGCACGCGCACTTTCATTTGCGTCATTCCTATCCAAAGTAATGGTTATTGTAATTTTTATTAAAGAAATAAAAAACTTGCTTGCTGTACTGTGTATCTTTTCAAGGCAAAAAAAGAGCCAATTAGGTGACACATAAAATGTTGACAGCTTTTAAAGAGATTTTGACTATTTTTTGATTAGTTCTAAAGCGTCCAAGTAAAGCTACTTTAATAATTAGTATTCAATAATCATTTGAGTTGTAGCTAAGAATAAGATCACCTTAAAAGTTTAATCTGGCTTTTGGAAACGTTTTCAAAAAGAAATCAATTACTGTATTTGGTAAAAAAAATTTTTTGCAGCTGACCTCGTTCGTTCGTTCGTTCGTTCGTTCGTTC